TAGGGATAGGAGAGATTTTGAGATGAAATCGAATTTGGGTTAGGGATTTCACCAAAATCGGTTGAATTAGGTTTAGGGATTGATAGTATGCTTTAGTCGGTTGTACTTAAAGCAATAAAAGTTGTTTTTAAGAGTTTAAGAGATTAAGAGTTTAAGAGTTTTAGCCAAATGCATTATAAGATAGTATAGATATATGTTAATCAATATATTAAATTGTAGGTTTTGTTGGAAAAAATATATGAAACAATGTGATAATAAATTTTCACAGTTATCACATTACATGAGTTTCTCAAATGATTAGATTCGTCTTTGAAGAGACGAAGTATTGTGTGAGAATAGAAGTTAATATGAGAATTAATGTAAGAAAAGATTTGGATCTTTGGTGACTTTTAATCTCACCTCCACCCCATGAATTGTGCTTGATAAGAAAATTGATCTGGTGCATTTCATTACTGTTGATATTCAATTATGATTGATTAAATGGTGGAGATCTCTTCTTATTTTTCTCATTATAATTTCTATTCTCAATGTAACCAAACTCTATATAGATACACATACATAGAACACGGTATAAATACAACTTATCACATTTGTACAATCAATACAACTCTAACCTCAACCGTCCGTTTATTTTATTTTACAGAATTCCAGTGTCTAATAAGAACCTTAGAATGGACTGTTGGAGATAGAGTAACTTATGTAGTTTGTACATGTCTTTTTTTAGTCCTTTTTAATTGATAAAATATACCTACATTTTCCACCCCATCAAATGTTGACTGTAAACTTAAGATAAGGTTGCATTGGTTGTACAAATAGAATATGTTGCAAAATAAACCACATATATAAGAGAGTTAATGTGAGAAACATAATAAGGGATCTTTACCCTTAGATGTACATTAAGATGAGATACACCGAATCAATCCTCATATCAAAGCGAAATTCATGGATGAGTTTGAGATTAAAAGTGATCAAGGGTCCACATCCCTTCTTACATTTCTCATCTTAACTCTCCTCCTCACATGATATTTCGCCTGTGTATATATATAGGGGTCCATTCAAGGAAGATTGACTAGTTTGTGGTAACCGTGAGATCCAATCTCAACCACAAATCAATAGATAAATTATGAAATTCATAAATTTGGTAATTTTGAATTAAAATTTTAATGCAATGACATTTTAGGTATTTTCTCTCCTCTCTCCGTCCCCCTCTTCCGGCCACCGTCCTCCGGTGATACCACAATGTGATACTCAAGCACATATAAGATGGATTGTGATACTACTGTGTTACATATCCGATCGATCGCACAAACGACCACAGTGTAATACCCAATCACATATATGATGCATTGTGATATCACTGTGGTATCACCGGAAGACGGTCGCCGGGGGACGGAGAGAGAAGAGAGGAGATAGGAGAGAAAATACCTAAAATACCCTTACATTAAAATTTTAATTAAAAATTACCAAAATTAAAAATTTTCTAATTTATCTATTAATTTGTGGTTGAAATTGGACCTCACATTTACCACAAACTAATCAGTTCTCATTTGATTAGACCCCTATATATATATATATATATACTAGTTGTGTACCCGCGCAATGCGGCGGGATGTAAATTTTAAATAAATGTAATCGAGCATACCAATTACGAATAAACATTTATATTTGAAATTG